GCGGCTCCCTGGGTCCCATTAGAACGCGTTCACATGTAAGTTAGTCTTGTCCTTCTCTTAAATATTTGGAAGTGTTTCTAAAGAATTTACAAACAACGTGTAAGTGTTGGGGAAATTTTGGTGTATTACGTCCATAAGTTGTGATTTAGTAACTGAGTTACAATTGGCTGTGGAGGGAATTCTCACTACATGACGTACGCTTTGTGGATCTTGAGAATTTACTGAACAATTGACATTGTGTTTATTTTGGAAATTTCAAGCACAGACCTAAAGGAGGGGAAACGGCAGCCCTGGAGCCAGCGTGCGGCTTCAACCTGACCCTTCGACGTGAAGCAGCGGCCTCCCAGGCTCCAGGTATCAGGTGAGCTCCTGGACGCCCAGCCCGGAACAGGGGTGCCAGCCCAGAAGGGGGCACCAGCCCAGCAGCCGGGCCTGGAGGAGTCCTCTCTGAACGTGTGTCTGCTCGTGGGCCAGATGGAGCCCAGGGTGCTGAGACAGATGCTCAGCTGGCCAGGAGGGGCGAGGAGGAGGGACCAGCAAAAGCCCGGGTTCCCAGGGTCAGGGTCAGGATGGGCAGACTTTCCTGGTAGTTCTGGCAGTGCCCACCGGGGTCCGTGAAAGCTCACTCCTATCCCAGCAGGCATCTTCTGTCCCACCAGTTGGACTGGCCAGGCACACTGGCCACTTCTGGGGGTCTGGACCCCACACCCAGACTCTAGCTGGGGGCCAGACTGCCTGTCTCACGGGGAGCCGGGTCCCCAGGCCCAAGGGGACTCGGCCTGGTGGCAGCACAGTGGGAGGGCAGCCCCCTCGGGAGGGCGCTCACCCATCCAGCTGCCGCCCAGCCACGTGCCAGGCCGCGCCAAGGCTCAGCGCAGTTGGGCCGCCCCGAGGGCTGACCCTGACCATGACCCTGTAACGTCTGCCCTGATGAGTCTGTGTTGTGGGCGCCCTGTGCCTCCACCCACAGCATGACAGCAAAGGTGTCTCCAGATGCTGCCGGAGGCCTCTGGGGACAAAACTGCCACGCGAAACACCACAGGTTTAGAGGCAGGTGAGGACCGACTTCATCAAGTCAAGATGAACAGCATGGTTTTTGCAGACTCTGGATGGTCCCAGGGTTTTAGTTGTTAAATAGACATAAATGCGTTACAAACCATCCCATCTTAACCACCTTTAAGTGCACGGCGTAGCGGCATTAAGTACATTCACACTGTTGTGCAGCCGCCACCACCAGAACTTTTCATCCTTCCCAGCTGACACTATCTCCACCAACCATTAACCCCACTCCCTCCCCCGGCCCCACCCCCACCGTCCGACTGTGTGAATCTGACAACTCCAGGGACCTCACATAAGTGAAATCACATAGGACTTGTCCTTTTGTGTCCGACTAATTTCCTCGAGTGTCACGGTCCATCTATGTTGTGTGTCAGAATGTCCTTTTTATGATGCAGTAATATTCCACTGTATGGACAGACCACGTCTTTCATCCACTGATCAGCTGCTGACAGTTGTGTGTGCTGCTGTGAATGTGGGTGGGCAAGTTATCAGGTCCAGCTCCTGCTTCCGGTTCTCCAGGCTGTGCACCTACGAGTGGGATTGCAGGCTCCTGTGGGGCTTCTATGTTTAACTTTTTGAGAAAGCTCCACACTGTTTTCCGCGGCATCTCCACCATCTTTCATTCCCTCCAACAGGGCACGGGGTTTCTGTCCACCTTCCTCCAGCATCTCTTCTTTTCTGCTTGTTTGGTTTCGTTTTGGTAATAGCCATCAGTCTTAACTGGTATGGAGTGGTCTCTTGCTGTGGTTTAACTCAGGTTTTTCATTCATTGTAGGTTATTTTCTGGGTGTTCACGTGACAGGATTTCTTTGTCTTCTGGGAACTTTCTCACTGGGACGAGACACATGCATGGGCAATAGCTGACCACTGGAGGGACCCAGCAGCTGAGTGCAGGGCAGGCCAGCTTCCAGGAGTGAACGGACCCGCCAGCACAGGGAGGAGGCCTCCCGGCCCCGCGGCGGCCTGGCCCACCCGAGAGCATCCCCCTTCCTGGCAGCAATGGGGTCAGGATGCCTGAATCCCCGGGGCTCCCGCCCACAGCCCACCCGTTAGAGGGGCAGGATGGGGACACGGGGGTGATGGAGGAAGGTGGTCGGCCTGCGGCATCTCTGGGGTCAGCTGTGCAGCGCTTGGTGGACAGTGACGGGGCGTCCAGCTCTCCTGAGGGGGTGCTGACTGCAGTCCTGGGCCCCGCCTCTAAATGGACCCTCCAGGCCAGCTACCCAGAGAGAGGAAGGGCTTGATCACCGGAGCCAAGGAGGTGAAATGTGCCGGAAGCCACCCAGCCCCACAGGAGGGGGAGCAGGGCCGCCACAGGCCTCCTCAGGGTGCTGGGTCCGCCCCGTCTGTGGAGTTCCACTGCCCCTCGCTCTTGGGGAGCACTCGCCAGTCTTGCTGCCCAGGGTACACAGCAGCAGCCCTCGCAGGGCCAGTAGCCTCTCCTCGGCCACCCCTGTGGGAATGGGGACTTTGCCCCAGATGTCCAGAGGCTGCCCCCGGCACAGGCCAGCCTCAGGGTGGTGGGTGTGTGAGTCCATGTGTGCGCATCTGTGTCCACTTCCTCGCTCAGCTGGCAGTCTGGGGCCCCAGTGTCCCCTGCAGCCCACTGCCCACGTCTGCCAAGGTGCGCGCAGGTGGGGCACAGCCTGGGAGCTCTGCTCTCTGCAGTTCTGTGCCCAGCAGGCTCTCCCCAGAGATGGGCCCGGCCCAAGAGCTTCCAGGCCAGCCAGCCACATCTTAATGAAGCCGCCTGTTTCCCTGAGTCCCTCTGAGACCTTACTTACTGTCATCGGAAAGGGATTATTTGCATTGATGGGGCTGCTTCCATACTTTGCTGCATCCCCATGGCCACACTCACAGGGCTCTGAGTCCCCGGCACCACGTTGGAGGGGAAGAGGGGGCGGCCTTCCGCCTGACCCACACTGCAGATGGACAGTGACACCAACTGGCTGAGGGACACTATTGTGCCAGGCTCCTTGCAGCCCTGAGCCCCACCGCAGGCCTCATCAGAGCTGGCCGGCCGGGCAGCCCTCGGGCATGCAGGGAGGGGGCCTGCGGTGGAGACCTCACGTGCCCTCAGGGGAATGCACCCCCTGCCGGGAGAAGGTCCATGTGCAGCCGTGGTCCTTGGGGAGCCCGAGAGTGCCAGCCCTGGCCACCAACGCCACCTTCACTGCGTGATGAGGTCACAAGAGGTCCTGGGGAAGAATCCAGAAAATGCATTCTGGGATGAAGGTTGAGTCAGAGGTGGGAAAAAAGGGAGAAGAATCAAGGCCAGGGTGACAGGGAGGAGCCAGGGGAGGTGGCAGGACAGGTGTGCAGGGAGGGGCCGGCCGCTGTGGGGGGCGCTCAGGTGGGTGGGGTGTCTCCTGGGGGGGCGGGGCTAGCTGTCCTCACCAGGAGAGGCCAGCCCCAGAGCCTCGCAGTCCCTGCCCTGCAGGCGCACACACGTGGCTGAGAAGACAGAATGCGGCCTCTCCTGGGGTGCAGTGCCACCGAGGAAGAGGCCTTCCCATCAGGGCCAGCCTCTGGGGGCCGCCGGCCCAGGCAGCCTCACGACCGGCCGCGGTGGTGGAGGAGAGAGCTGATGCTGACTCTAGGTGACAGAGCTGGCGGAGAAAGGATGTCGATGGTGCCGCTCTTCTAATTAAGGAACTAAGCTGTTAGAACCTAGGCTTCCCCCTGACGTGGCTGCTTTCAGCAAAATACCTCTGGTTCTGCTGTTTCCCACACACAGACCTGGCAGCAGTTAAAATAGAGATGCCGAGATTCCAAAGTTTCATCCCGTGAACCCATCTGGTTTAAAGAAGTACAACAAGTGGGAAAGGGAGTTGAATCAAAGCACAACTTGTGTTTTCCTAAATACGGAAAGCATGTGAGGTAGGCCAGCAAACAGCCCCACCCCTCCCGGGGCCCAGGGCTGCCCCCGCAACCCCCCCTCTGCTGGACCCCAGTCGGGACTCAGAGGCCACTCCAAGGCGGGTGTTGGAGGTGTTGGAGGGGGACAGGGCTGTGCAGAGGTCCCCACGGAGAAGCCGGGTTCTGGACCCTCACAGAGGACAGGCCTCCCCATTTGCAAGGCACCGGACTCACTCTCCCGGGCTCCGCCTCCCTCTGGCTGCCTGCACAGGCTTTGATCTGCAGCACACCTGGAGACCAGTGCCTCCCCCCAGCAGCGTCACACGTGTCCCACACCCACTGTGGGCTCCTCTGCTGGGCAGAAGGGGGCTGCAGGGGCCCTCCCTCCTCAACTCCAGGCCCCAGGAGCTGGATCTCAGCTCACGGCCCCACGAGGCTTCCCCGGGGGGCTGTGTAACCCACCCCTCCAAGACATTTGTCACCAGACTGCTGTACCCATAGCTCACCGGGCACCTCATCCCCTAAGGGCCTTTGGGGTCCCCAGCCTCACCCGAGTGTGGTGCAGGGGTCCATCCAGCGCGTCCTCACACCAGTGAGCAGTTCTGTGGGGTCACAGGGCTCCTACATAGGGGCCCTGGGCACATAGAGGAAGGGGGCTTGCGGGGTGCACTGGGCAAGTCTCCAGAACCACCAGCCGCTTGTGCCAGGGCACCGGGAGGGACGGGCAGTTCCCTGAGCCATCCCAGGGGCTGGACGGCTCACATCCCAGACAGAGGCTCCAGGATCATGGGAGATGTCCCACCACGTCCCAGAGTCCTTGGGTCCCCGAGGCCCCGATGAGGGGCCAAATGTGTGAAAGGGGAGCGGATAGGCCCCACCTGCCTCCACTTGCTCAAGGTCACCTCTTTCCCACAGTGGATGTCCATCATTTTCAGAAAAGCTTCAAGACTGAAGGACCAAAAAAAAAAGACTGAAGGACCCTCTGGTCCAAGCTCTCGTCCTCCCCAGCAGCTGTACATCTGGAGAGAGCGAGGGGAGCAGTGCAGGCCTCTGGGCCAACGGGGAGCCCAGAGGAAGATGCTCTGGGGGGCCCACGAGATGCAGGTGGAATAGGATCTGGGCCCCACACAGCACGGCTCAGAGGCATGGCCAAGCAGGAATGAGGGGCTGGAAGAGGGAGAGGACAGTCACAGGAGGACAAGGATTGTCCGGGGAAGGTCAGACTGCACCTGCAGTGGGGGGGGGAGCACACCTAGCCCTTGTTTCAGGGACGAGGGCCCGAGATGGCCCGAGCGCCACTCTGAAATGTGGAGTGCATGGCAGAAGCTGGATGACCCTAGCCAGCCCTTCCCTGTGACCCCCAGGATGAAAGTGATAGCAGCCTGTGGCGGTGGCAGATAGCAGGGCACCCACCTGAGAACCAGCAGTTGCCCTTCACGGGGACTGGATGCTGGTCAGCAATAGAGACCTGGCCAGCACAGCATGGTTGGCCAGGCACTCAGCTCACCATGCCAATGTCACTTGCTCCCAGCCAGGCAAAGGCCTCCACAGGGGCCGTGGGGAGGAAACCACACTCTGGGGCTGCTCCCCAGGCCGGGCAAGCATCTGTAGTGTCCGCCCACCAGCCGCCTGGCAGGGGGCCTGCTGTTCACCTTGATTCCATTCCCGATCCTTAGCGTGTGAGTGGCCCCCGTGCCGGACAGCAGTGCAGCTCTGCATCTCAAATGGGTGGCGATCTTGGGAGCGGGCTGTGCACACGGGTGCGTCCTCTTACCTGCAAACACCATCGTTAGTGTTGGGGAGCTTCTCCTCACTTCAGCTTTGATGTCTGCAACCATGGTTCCCATCCCAAGCCCCCAGCCCCCACGGTCTGGATGGTTCAGGGAAGAGGGAGGCCCGAGAACCAGTGTCTGCAGGGGAGACCAGCTCAGCTGGGCAGACCACTGCCCATCACTCCTGCAGGCCTCCCAGGACAAGGTGGGTGCCAGGTGCACTCATGACCCCAAGCAGGGAGCCCATTGACACAGCAGGCTTGCCCAGAGGGAGCCCTGCAGTTGGGGGTGGACGGGTGCCCATCAGGGCTAGGTGTCCAGGGCCGCCCTTAGGAGTGTGTTCCTGATGCTACGTCCAGGGAGCTGCTGGCCAGATGCTGCGAGTCTTCATGCCCTGGTGCAGGTGCTCTGTGAAGCTCTGAGGGGCCCTGGCTCCAGAGCTCACCCCTCAGCAGCTTTGGTTGCCCCCTCCCTTCCTAGACCTGCCTCTCAGGAACAGGTCCTGCCATCCGACTGCTAAGCTCTTGGTCACTTCCCGCCACCAGGGCAAACGCATCTGGAAAAAAAAAGAGTACAGCCCAGAGCGGACATCAGGAAATGCCTGGCCGGGCCCTCAGAGAGGTGGCACCAGGCTGCCAGGGCCACATGGCAGCAGTTGTCACGAACACACTGGGACAGGCACAGAAGGGGGACAGAACCTCAGCCACTCGCACTTCCCATCCATCTCGTGTCCAAGCCGGCAGCCTTGACGGTGACCGCCGTCCATCAGCACTTCCTGCCTGGACTCAGGAAGGGAGGGATCAAAGGGTTCCTCTGGCCCCATCCCTGGTGTTGAGCTGATGGGGAGAGGTCCCTCACCACCTGGCCTGGGAAAAACGCTTCACAGGCAGGTTTCAAGATGACTCATGACCACTGTCATTGTGCCTCCGTCCAGGTCACTCCATGGGGACACTCACAGTGAATAAAGTCAATAAACAGGGGAAAACGCAGGCCTGGGCCGGGGCCAGACTGGGAAACGCTACCAGAGCAGAACTGTCTGTTTTTGTCTTTCCCGAACAGAGTCAGGGCTTTCCCTCTTCCCCTCCTGCCCCCAGCGGACAGTGTCCTGTCCTGTGTGATGGTGACTGTTGTCCTGCCTTCTGTAGAAAAAACACAGGCATCTGTCCTGAGAACAGGCCAGGAGTGGGGGCCCAAGTCCTCAAGAGGGAAACGTCCGGGTGAGGAATTTAAGTAACAAGGTCCCTTGCACACCTGGGATGAAGGAGACTCGGCAGCACAACCAGGGGGAGGCTGGGCTGGGGACGCAAGGTGGAAGTGGGGGCGGGGCGCACGGACTAGCCGGGAGAGGTCGCTGGGAGGCGTGGCCTGGGAGGGGGCTGGGAGGAGGGGCTCGGAGCGCACTGCAGGGACCCCCGCCCCGCGCAGAGCCCGACCTTCGGACTGTGGGGACGTGGCTGAGGGGACCGCGAGTCCCCGAGTCGAACAGAACTCGCTCTCCCCAAGACATCCCGCGCGATGTAACTGGACGCAAAGAAATGGACACTCAGGCAGCTTCCAAAAGAGGCGAAACCGTTTATCAAGTCGGCGCCGGCACGGTTATCTACAGTATCTACAAATATCTACAAGTCTCTACACCGCCTGCAGACAGGGTTCTCGGGTCGTCTACACTGCAGCTGCCAGCTGGGCCGGGGGAGGACGCGGTCTCGCGGAGAACAATAAATATCACTTCCTTCCGCCGCGAACCGCGCACTTTGGCACTGGCGGCGCGGACCCGGGGAGGGACCCGCAGTGGCCCCGGGGCCAGGGCACCAAGTCCTTGGACGGCTCTGGGTCTGGCGGGAGGAGGGCCCGATGGCTTGGAGGCCGGGGAAGGGGCACCGCGGTGGTCCACGCTGGGTGGACCGG